CCGCAGCTATGTATACTGGCCCTTAATGGACAAACAGCTAGAAAAACTGGCTAAACGCTGCCAAAGTGCGCCAATGTCTTAGAAGTGCCACAAAAAGCTTAGCTTCATTCATGGCCAAAGACTACTAAACCATGGTGCCGCATCCAGGTCGACTTCGCAGTACTGATCAACGGCCGAAGTTTCCTCATCATAGTCTACTCATACGGCTAGTGGCCTGAAGTATTTCTCATGGATAGCACAACCACCAATGCTATTGTATCAAGACTGCTCCAAATCTTCAGCAGATTCGGCTGTCCAGACCCGATTGTAACTGACATCAGCAAGCAATTCACTTCGGCAACTTTTACGGAGTTCTACAAGCATTGCATCTTCCAGCACACCCGCTCACCGCCGTTTCACCCACAGTCGAATGGCCAGGCAGAAAGATTTTTCGATACCTTCAAGCGAGCTCTTCACAAATCAAAAGGCGAGGGACGTATAGAGGAGGTGGTTGACCGGTTCCTTTTCCTCTACCGGCCAACATCGAATCCACAATCGCTGGACGGAGCTTTTCCAACACAGGCTATGGTGACCCGGAAGCTCCGCATGCATTTCGACACCATCTGACTGCACTCCGAACCCTCTGTTTGTGCAAAAACCGCAGAATGGAACAAGATTTTAATCGACGGCATGGATCCAAGAAGCGATCGTCCGCACTTGGACACACAGTACTAGTATGTGACTACCGGGAAGGCCACGTGAAGTGGACAACTGTGATGGTCATAAACAAGCGCGGAAATGTCATGTATGACGTGATCGTGGTAACACAAATCTGTGCACGGTATACAAACCAGCTACGGCCAACGCTGTGCCAACCAGAAGAAGCAGTCTGCAAATTTCCCGTTCGACTTATTGGTGGAAAGCTTCAACTTGCCAAAGGAATCCGTTTAGGACTGATCACAATCGAGCAACCAAACCAGACCACAGACGTCGGAACCCGCTTCCCGAGCACTTCAAGTCAGGAGATGGACCGACAGGCAGAGAACACCGTCCCGAAGACTGCAAGTTAATCCCAGGCTTTCATCATTTACTGCGGACGTAATCTCAAGAGGGGTGTCCGAGAGAAGATAAGAATTCCCCGGAAAATCCATTGTTTCGACAATTATCGATTTTTACCGATAATCGTATCGCTTTCGAACCATCTTTAACATTCCTGGGCCTGCACGTGACTAGCAACCTCCTGAAGGTCGGTCAAATCTATGTGGGACAACTAATCTTTGCAGTTGACCTTCCTATTCCAAGTCAGTAAGTGACCTATAAATATAGCCAAGGTCCGCTGCATTTGTACAGTGTTTTGTCGACGGTGCTTAACAAGTTATTTTGTCAAGGTCATTGACGTTCTACTTTTTCCTTCGGTTGGGCTAGAAGTTTTGTGAAGCACTAAAGTGCTTATTTCGAATTCGCATCTAGTGGGAAGAATGTAACAGTCTTCCCAGATTAGCAACTGAGAACTTAGCCCTTGGTCAGACAAGCCTATTAAGACGCACTGCGTACCGAACTTTCGCTGTCTTTTCCTAATGACGCTGAGCCTCAATGGAATAGGATCTCGGCCGCCATGCGCAAGGCAAGAGCATCTGCTTGTGGCACTATCAATCGTCACCGCACCGGTCGCTTTATATCCGAGGTCGATGAACCTGTTGGAACCCAGAGGAAAGCTGTCGGCTAGCTCTGAGCACAGTATGACCAGACAGACTATTAGGCACTAAGTAAAGCGGAGCCTGCGTACTGTAAAAGGAGCGTGGTCGACTAGTAGGGCTCAAGAAATGGGGGAAGTGGGAGCAGTAGGCAATTACCGCAAGCTCTCCCAGCTAATTCGCACCACTGTTCCCAGAAAACCAGGCGTCAGTGAGACAATCAGAGACAGCGCGGGTGCGCTGATACGCAATAAGGAGCGCCGTATGGCTCGTTGGGCTGAACACTTTCGTGATCAGTTCAGCTGGCCCTTTGCTTCCGGACCTCTTCTTACTCAGGTGATGCAGGACGAGCCATGGACGGTTAGTTTAGAGCCTCCGTCGGAGGCCGAGGTTCGAAACGCGACCACAGCCCTCAATCGTTTTCGTGCCGCTGCCCGGATTTTCTCTCATCTGCACTATTTAAGGATGGAGGTGAGGTCCTCTGCAAAGCACTAACTTCCCTGTTCGAGCATGTATGGAAGACGGCAACCTTCCCGCCTAACTAGAGTGAATCGATTATAGTGGCAATATACAAAAAGGGCAGTCGCACAGACTGTGCTAACTCAGGGGTATTATCCTAACGCCAGTTGTGACAAAATTACTGGGCTCGATTCTCGTCCGTCACCTCACTGGAGAACGCGTATCTCGAATTAGGGAAGAGCAGGCCGGTTTCCGCCCAGGACGTGGCTGTATAGACCGCATATTCACTCTGGCAGGTGCTAGAGCCGCGCCACACACCGCAGACCGACAATGCCTGTATTCCTTAACTTCCAGCATATGTTCCATTCAGTCGATCGGTGCATTATGTTCGAATTACTTGCGCAGAAAGGTTTTTCTCACGAATTATGTGAACATCCTACGTGTTCTATACTCGAACACTACAGGCCGTGTCTAGGTCTACGGTGATCTGTCTGTTAGCTCTCCGATAACAACTGGCGTTCGTCAGGGTTGCCCGACCTCTCCGTTTTTTTTCACTTTCGTCATGGACTTCGTTATTGAGTGTTCTCTTACGGAATCTCAAGATGTAAACGTTGAGGTCCTGTCTGTTGGAAGGCTAGTTGATTTTGATTATGCAAACGTTATCGTCTCGCTTTTTGACGATGTTGCGGCGGCACAATCAACCCTGAATAGTCTCTCTAGTGTGGTCCCATTATTTGGTATGCGCTTCGCACCTTCAAAGTGCAAGGTGCTGCTGCAGGACCACCAGCTACTTGATGACCCGTTTACTCTTAATAACGAGGAACTCGTGGTGGTTGATCGATTCACTTACCTTGGCAGCTGTATCAGCAACGATGGGCGCATAGAAACTGAAGTCAGTTCACGCAGTGCAATGTCCAGAACTGCCTACTTGATCCTGCGGTATCTGTGGCGACAGAAGGGAGTTTCCCTTCGTCTGAACGGCGTGTTTACATGATCACAGATAGGGCAGTCTTCTCCATGGGTGTGCGTAGGCGAGTACGAGGTAGTGATAACCATGCTAGCTCCCTAGAACAACAAATGGATATATATATATATATATATATACATATATATATATATATTGCAGCAATCTACGAATAGACATAGAGCCATCAGAAACCATGGGCCTCAAAAGAAGGTTCAAAAATAGTAAAAGAGAACAACATAAAACATCTAGTCCATAGTTTCGTCAGAGCGCGTGATACCACCCGGTTGCCCAAGCCGAAGTAGGGTGTTGATTTAGGGTACACCACCCTGAGCCTTTGGCTGAATAGCCTGCCCGCAAGGCAGCGGAGCGGATTCAGGGAATCGCGCCCATTGGGAGCCGGTGACTGGTTGCTCAGTTCATACGCCTTTCGTTTGTTCCTTTGTCAAGCAGGGGCCCGATGCTCCTCAATATTACAGCATAAAGTTGCTGGAATACAATGCTTCTCCAGGATGACGCAAAAGTCAGTGACTTTATTTATTGATGAGTCACGTCACAGTGTTGTTAAATGAACATATGTGACTTTTTATAGGGAGAACGCTTGCCAAGCGAAAACCCACCACGTCCTGAAACACTGCGGCCGAATTATTTGCTTGAACGGGAAAATCCCGAACCACCCCGCTGGCACCACGTGGAGGTTGTTCTGCAAGCCAGCTAGATAGCACTGAATAAGTTGCGTTGGCTCGGGCACGGGCTGCCTATGTCTGGTCACGACTTACCTAGGTGGGCCTTGTTTAGTCTGCCAAATGTAGGGTGGAGCAAGACTCGAGGTGGACAGAAGTGGACTTGGCAGCGGGAAAGATGTCACTGACGACCAAACTTGGTGTCGTCGGTCCGTCTCGCCTTCCGGGCTGGAGTCTACGTAACCCGCCTTGTGCTCGGCTCGAGATATTTCAGGAATTGGCTCGCAGCCGACTTCAGTGGCGCGTCTGCTGCCGTCTGCTAGTCGGACTGCCTGTTGAATGTGTGTTTAGTGCTGTGTTATCTGCGGGGTAATGGCTGATTATGACGCGTAACATTGAAAGCCGCAAGCAAGCAGTCTCGCTGGTGCCGCTTTATCTTTGCATGATAGCCAGCTGTTTGTGACTGTATGTTGTTAACACAGGATGTAGGCGCCTTGACCCTGAATGTTTGCCTAAGGCATTAAGGTGTTCCGTTAAGTCCCAATTCTGTCCCTGTTACTCTTTATTTCATAGGTCCTCATGATTGTATGGCAGCAGAGCATCAGTTCAACTGGCTGATGTACTGTTGTTGTTGTTCGTCACCCCCATCTCGCATATTTTCCCTCCTCCGACCACGATTTTACACTATAAGCATAATATAATACTTAGCACTGTATTCATTTTTTTAGTTTTTATTCTGTAATCCTTCGTATCTTGATTTTTCCATATATCCTAACTTCGTTGTTCTGCCGCACATTAGCTGAAGTGCGTTGCATGCTTTCAGCTATCGCGTAATGATGATGATCACTCGTCGAATCACCACTCATTGCACATTGTATAGGTACTTTCGCGTAATCAGTCCGGCAAACTTTCTCGGTTTTGCATATCACCATTGGACGCTTTTTACTTGCTGCCAAAAACGCTCATTTTTAGCCTATAGAAAATTGAACATCTACTGTACATGTAGGCTCCATGTGTCAGCCATTATCAGTCTCCAAAGGCCATTCTTTTGCTTTGTGAGAGCGTCAACTCAGTACTGACTAGGTATAGCACTCTTTGCCTCTGTCTTCACTTCGGTGTCTCTCACTGTTATTTATGCTTTCCTCATTCAACCAAGCTTGCCATACCATTAATATCTTTCCTTTGTTTTTACTTACTTTTCTGCCAAATAACCTATCACAGATCATCGCTACCCTTGTTCACCGCCACCAAGTTGGCCACACGTGCTTTATTCGCACACCTCATCACCTTCGCAACCAAAGAGAGTGCTTTTTTCCAAATTGCCGGAAAAGTCAACCCCGCAACTTCAAGCCAACTCTTGTCTGCGGTTTGGACCTTCGGGCTCAGCGATCACTTCTCGATTGTCCCAAAATTGCTGCAGGACTTCCAAACCGATTCGTCTCCTACCTCCAGCTGCACACCACTCCATGCCACTCTGATCTCATTCCCTCTTGGCCATGTGCCTCACAATTCGGTCTTCTCCGACCGCCGCATTTTCTGCGGACTCCCACCTTTACCATCCACCACAAACGCCCTGACCTCCACCGAAGGAGTAGTTAACTCAAACCTGGCTGCCGTTCACTACATATGTCTGCCACAGGTTGGTTTAGGTTGTTTGTTGAGTTGCTTTGTGTCTTTCATCTCATAGTACTTCCTATCTTACTCCCGTTCGAATTTTTACGATACAGCACAAATTTATGGTCGGAACCCGCTTGAATGTCCCCCTGCCCGTTCATATCCTTTGCATTCCAATCATTGTTAACAGTTTTCCACTGCACGATTGTTCGGCACCACGACTGTCGTACAGCTTCACCAGCTAAGCATATCTGAGCATTCTCTGTCCTCCTTTCGATCTGTCCCGTTCCTTGGACTACTGTCTAATATATGTTCAATACATTTTCTGTATTTGCCTATGCTTTTGTTTCCTGGAGTTGACGCCAACATCTTTCTCAATATTACGTCCTCGAGACCCTCCACCTGTGTCGCATCAGCCTGTAAAGTCCTTGTTTTATTGTTCCAGAATTATAAATCGTATACGCAGCACCACACTTTTTGCAGGCTTGGCGGTATCCGATTCTGAGTTTTCCTGTCACTGCGCCCTTCATAGGGCAGCCACAGAACGCCTGCACCTACAGAGAGACCCAGGTGGCTTGCGCTGCCCCACCTACAGCTCCATCTACACACCCCAGAGAAATACGACCCATAGGCATATATCTTGGAGCCACGTGTCATCGGTTGCAACGAGACTGAACCTTAACGTGGCGCGACGGCTTGCTTCCCTCTTTGCCCCATTAAATCATTCCAGGTGGTGCCCTCGGGACCTTCGAGAGACATTTCTATCAGGCTAGTCAATGGTTACAGGTCAGACAAATTCAGTCTCCTGGTCCTCTAGGTTTGGAGTTTGCGACGAGATGACATCGCCACCTACCCGCTGCCTTGCGGACAGGCCCTGGAGACAATGACCTTGAATAAAGACCCTAATCGTTCTCCTGTCTAGGTCTGAGCACCCTTCCAGTATCTCAGACAAAGTACAACCATGACTACTTTTTCAAACCTTAATCACATCCTGCACCAGCCGTCACGCAGATTATCAAGGGCCGCCTTATCTACTGTATACAGCAGGACGGATAAGCGAGAACGTGTTACTGATGGCGGCTCCTTTTTTCCTTTCCATCTGTTTCTTTTACTCCCCTCCCAACCCCAGTTACTAGCCTGGCTTCTATAATGCCCTACTTAGTTGACATCAGCCGCAATGGCACTGCAGTTCGACTATCTGCAGGTATCTTCCCGCACCGCCCACTGGACGCCAATCCCTAGCGGCTCCTTATAAGACCCCACTGTCCCGTTTCCCTGGCGTCGTTCAACGTTCGCACTCTATGATAAATATATCAATAGCCTGCAGTCACACGCACCTTGGACACGCTGGTTATTGATGTTTGTTGCATATCTGAAACTAAAATCAATGACCCTCTCGGGGTTGTAGAGTAACCGCACCTAGTTTGTCCGCTCGCTATTGGTTGAACGCCTCCGGAGGCACTGATGCGTTAGTCACTAGTTAAGCTGAAGCAGGCTTCGTTCACAAAGCTGAGTCATCATTAGTTGATTGCATTCCCGTGAGCAGCCTGTTGTGAGCAACCCGTTTGATGACCTCAACTATAATTGATTCCCGATGCTGCCAAGGACACTTTCTACCACGAACTGAACACGTTGTTTGCAATGTTACTAGCCCAGATATCATTGTTGTTGTTGCTGCTGTTATTGTTGGTGGTAGTGGTAGTGATGGCGATTTTGTTGTTGTTGCTGCTATTGTTGAGGTATGAATGCGCAACTAGGTCGTCTGAGCTCTTTAGTAGCTCGACCACCCTCGAGACGACCAAATTTTCTCTTATACATGCCTCGTTCAGCAAAACACAACTGCTTGGCCCCATACGGTTGCTTCTAACACGCTATTTATGGGGTTAGTTAGTGTCACTCCAGTTGTATTTGTCAACTGTATGCTCAAAATCTTTTCCACTAGCTCTGAAGTTTTGATCCCACTGTATAACAAACGTCAAGAAGCCAGAATTTTTACAGCCTTGTGCTAGATTCCACTGACTACTTAATCCCTTTTCGAATAGCAGTAGACGACAATCTCCGGTCCTGTCCTATGCCGTTTTATTCATGCTTCGAGGGATCAGTAAAGTACTGGTAGATACTGAAACAATCCACCACATTTTCAAACTTCATACTATATTTTTGCCTACCCAATCTACACTGTTTGTCACTGCATTTTACCCGCGGACCTCTCCATTGCTTATTCCCCGTCTTTTTGATCTTTATCCAGATATTGACGACTCTTCTCCATTTTTCCTTCTTATGTTCTATTTCAGTGGGCTGACATTCATCGGGATCTAGAGCTACTTGGATCCTCTGACGATTCGTTGAACGTGTTATTTGTTCATTTTCTTTTTTCCGCCTGGCCCGCAGTGGAGGATCAACTCACGGATTTTCTCGACTCGTTGTTGCTTGAACTTTCACACCCATCTCCCCCTCAAAGTGAAGGTAGCCGCTCGCTGTCATTGAACTGTATAGTCGTCATCGCGTTGCCCGACTCCGCCACATCTATGGATGACCGTCTGATGTCCTCTGACCTTTGTGCTGGACCGACTTGTCTACGGAGACTAGCCAAAAGGCATCGTGTCCAACTCGTTCCGCTTCTACAGTCCGTCATCACGTTGGACGATGAGGAAAATTGTTCCCCCGTGCCTCGCACTGTCCCATCTCCGCATGTGTCTATACCTCCTTCCGTTGCCAATCTTCGCAAACCTCTTCTGATTGTTTTGTCCATGTTATCTGATTACACGAACGAAGGTACTTATTCCTCTGGTAGTAAGCTTGATTTGCCTAGTCATCGTTTTCGTTTTGCTATTAAACTTTTCATCCTCGATAGTAACCCACTTATCTCAAGCTTGCTATTTTCACTTCTTGTTATGCAGTCGTTTCTTATCAAGTTAGTTGACATCACTTTTTGCGACTTTTCCTATCATCCTTAGAAACGACTCACCTTAACGCTTTCGGCACGAATTGCTGGCTCATTATCTCACTCACCAACCTCGGCTCGATTCCATATTGAAATGCTGCATTAACTTGCGTACCTGCATTTGCACAAATTGTAAGACGCTATTCTAGTACTTTCAAAGCTACACTTACCAAGCGGGTTACTCGTTAACCATCCGACAAATTCACCCGATATCCTCCTCATCGGCGATCGAGGAGAAGTTGACACTGTTCTCTCAACTCAATCATAAAAGCTATCTGCTTACCAGTTGTTAGCTCAACTCGTTTGGTGTATGGCCCGTGCTCCACTGGTTGTCTCCTACGCTTGGAGAGCATAGCGACTTTCACTGTCTTACTGCCACCTGCTTCTAGCTAACTTACCATGAGTCCGTGATGTGTGGTCACCAAAACTCGCTTGTGCTTGACTTCGATCGAAGATATATCGCTTGCCACAACCGAAAATCGTGTGCGCATTATCACAGACTTAATTTCACTTATAGTTGGACATCAAACAAACCCCCATGGGAATCTGCGATTACTTTCTCGAGCTGGACCTGATCTGAATTAACGGCCTCGTGAGTCAGCTTATTACGAATCAACGGCTTTTGATGGTGATCTCCAAGCATGTCCTGCTTATTATCTTGTAGGTCCGACTACTGCGTCACCTGCGAGAGGTAGCCACCCTCACTCATAACTGCTCGTCATCCATTCACATTGCACCTCTATCGATCAATTCTATTTACTTCTCTTTCCATGTGCCACTAACAAAATAGTTACGCAATCCTTCCCACCCAAAATATCATTTCACAGTATCCTTTTCCTCCTTTTCTCGCTTCTACCGCGGTCAACCTGCGAGACTAGTCCTAGTTATGCGCCTCTTCGAAGTTTGCGTTTTCTCGATGTGTATCATCATCATCATCATTCTACACGTTAGCTGCAGGTGGAAAATACCTCAGCTATTGTGCCGCAGTACAAAAGACAAGAAGAACAATAATCAACAGAGGCACGCAGGTTGAATCCCCATTAACGGACGAGCATCCTTCCGGAGAGCTAACAACCGGCTATCGTGCCGCAAACATAGTTATATTATGCCTAGCGAATGAGATCGTGATTGGAGGAGGAGGCTAAGCAGGAGGTGGATGGACAAAGGAACTCACAATACAAACGCCATTGGGGCCGGCTCCTAGCCATATCAGCATGTGTCCAACCAAACGTGTTCACCGTCCTTGGGACCCCAGCCAGGCTGTCGGGATGCACCAACCGACGCCAACGTCAAAGTAAGCGTTTTCATTTCTCTCGACCAAGTCATCGCTTGACCTCCCCTCCTCATCTTCCAACCACACCCCTGGCGCGCAAACAATGCACGTCGCGGGAGTCGATGTGCTGGCATGCGCAACACGTGGCCCAGCCATCGGAGCCTGGTGCGTGATATAATGGTGCTGAGCGGTTCACTCGCTCTTCCTGCACCAAATAGGCGATGTCGAATACGCTCCTTGCTTACGCGGTGCTCCCATCAGACATGAGCTAAGCTAAGAAGCCAGCGATGATCGAACGTGACGAGCCTCTTTATGTCTGTCGACCTGATGGGCCAGGTTTCACAACCATATAGGAGAGTTGAACAGACGGCTGCATTGTAAACTCTGCCCTTCATGGCAAGAGTGATGTCGCGTCTGCGTCAAAGATGGCGGAAATTGGCAAAACACCTCGCGCTTTTGCTACACGGCTCGTAATGTCAGCTTCGATCCCACGGGCGCTAATATGGCTGCCCAGGTACTTGAATTCCTGAACGACTTTCAGCTGATCACCACTAAGGGTCAGAGCAGTGGTGTGTCGCTGCCTGTCTTGGAGAAGAACTTTGCATTTCGATGGAGCAAAGCATAGCCCAAAACGATTGACAGCCAGTGCGAATCGGTCTAGTGCAATCTTGCATATTTTGGCGCTGTCACATATGAGGGCAATGTCATCCGCTTACTGCAAGAGGTCGCTCACCAGTAAGTCGCTCCACATCTTCTAGGTCGTGTCCATTGAACGCTGTTTCCATGACTTTATCAATACCGAATTTAAAGAGAAAAGGTGACAGTGGACAACCTTGTCTCATACCGCTGGAGATATTGAAGGACGGCGACAGTTTGCCATAAACCTTCACTCTGCCCGAACTATGCGTATACAGCGCTTTGATAATGTTTACCTACTTATCAGGCACACCTTTCCTCAACAGACGGTCCCAAAAGGCACATTGATCCACCGAATCGAAGGCACCTTTGATGTCGAGAAACACGACAACGGTGGGTCACCAATAAATATGATGGTGCTCCAATAATTGACGCAAAGTGAAGATGTGATCGCTGCAGCCCCAACTTCGACGAAACCCGGCTTGCTCTTCACGGATCTGGCTCACGAGTGCCAGTCAGTCTGTGGAGAATGGCAGACGCAGGCAGTCTAGAGGCCATTGTGATCAAACTGATCCCTCTATGATTGTCACATTCCGAACTGGAGCCTCCCTTGAAAATTGGGACAATGACGGAGCTGCTCTAGTCGTGTAAATCATCCACAATCGCAATTCTTTCGTATTTGTAGAGAGCTTGTGTAATTTTATCTGCACCAGCGGTCTTAAGCAATTTCAGCAGTCCGATTTCACGTTCAGCTTCTGCGCGTGAAGGCGGCTTTCAGGAGACGGCTCTTGGAGAAGCGCACTTAATACCCGAAAGAGAAAGCGATAACTCAGATTGGTTTATCTGCCCTGCAAAGTGTTCGGCCCAATGCTCCAAGCGTTTTGACAAGCTGTGGATCGGCTGTCCACTCTCGGCGCGTACTGTCTCGCTAAAACCAGGTCTCCTGCTGCCTATTTCCCGTATCAGACGGAATAATTTGCGATGATGTTTCCATTTCCGATGCATGATGAGACCACCAGGCTTCGCGGTCTCTCTTCAGGCTAACACGCAGTTTTGCCCTGCGATTTTTTTGAGTCTCATCGTATTCACTTCCAGTCGGAATCCATCGGCGAGCATCCATAAATTCCAGAGACTTTGTAGAGACCCATTGTCTAGGTTGGCAATTTGATTTGCCACATGAAGACATGCCTGCTGATAGTAACATTTGCCGAATATGCAACCAGTGATCTTCGACGGTGTTCAATGGGCGCTTACTTACCCCAGATGCCAGCGTAATTTGATACGCATTCAGAACACCTGGCTTCGTCAGCTGACTGGTGTCAATGCGCTTGGATCGACGTTGCGGACATCCGCAGTAACGCACCCGCAGGTCGGCATACACGAGAGCGTGATCGGAGTCCACGCTGGTGCTCCAAATCGAGCGACAGTTTTGGACACAGCCTCTCCAGCAGTAACTAATCACGATGTGATCGATTTATGTCCATAGCTGGCCCTAGGCTGGTGGGCGCCAAGTCACTCTTCTGCGGGTGCTATGTCGAAACTTAGTGCTCGCGAGAAAGAGACGAGCACCTTCACACAGCTGTATTAATCGCTCACCGTTTGTCCCCGCGCGACTTCGAAGCCTGGAACGAGCCGGCCAACCTAACGGCGCACATCCGGCTGTTGACAGGGATCCAGTCTATCTGGGCAGCTTCCGTCCGGTACTGAAAACAATGACGACGCCAGCTTGACCCGCATTTGAATCTGCGTCATCCCCATACAGGCGCAATGAGAATGTGCCACCCGTGTCGTATGTGGGGGGTCGCAGTGTAAACACGGAGCTCGAATCTTGCAGGCGGGTTTCTGATAAACAGCAAACATCGATCGCTAGTTTCTCGACTGTTCGCGCAAGTGCCGCGTGTTGGCCAGTCTGTAGCAAAGCGCACACGTTGAGGCAATCAGTCTTAGCGAGGATGGTTGACTGCAAAAGGAAACAATTGAACTGACCTTGTCCGCTTGGTTGAATATGGGCTTGTCGACTGGATTGGAGCGACGCTCTGTGATTGTGTTTGAGTTGGAACTAGAAAATAATCGACTATCCAAGCAAGATGGTGGAGGGCCAAGAATTGGGGGATTGAAAACGAGGGGATGAAAGTGAAGTTGGGACGGGACGTTAAGGATGAAAAAGCGCAAGCGGGGGAATAAGAAGGCGGGTAGGCCTGAGCATTAGTATCCAAACCTCTATCCACCTTGTTCGATGCAGCAGATAGGGCGCCGTTTATTATCCTCTGTGACGGCCAATGCATCAAGAGATTGTTAGAAGGAAAGGTCATGAGTATCGGCAATGTACATGTGCATCTGTGGCTGCCGGCCTCGGGCTCCATTGACGGCGCATACAATTTCCTCGTCTTCGTTGGGACCGAGTCATCAGCTCCGGGCATTTGCAGTTTCCATTCCTCTCCAACCTGGCTACGATTAGCTTAAGGTGAGCGGTCGCATATTTACGATTCGGCATCGACGCTCAGTCGCGTTCAGTAAGCAGGAAACAAACACAAAGGACTTTCTAATATCATCAGCGTATACTCCAATCGGAGAACTTCAAAGATTGATTCTGAAACAGCGTCTGATTAGGTACCTCAGAACCGACTATCGGTAACAATAATTGTTTTATTACTGCAATTAGTTCACGGAACTCCAACACAACTTTGCTATCTCCAACAGCACCCTATCAATTCACCTTCAAGAGATTCAGTTATCGTCTCGATAAACATTTGCGAAGGTAGCGTCACTTGGCTGAGAATCAGTCATCCATCGGTTTTTTACCTCTTAACTGGTAACTTTCGTGTTGGCTTCCAGCCACAGGTTAACAAACTCTACTTATTCCTCGTGGCATCATATGACGCACGAATTACAGTCCGGGCCCAGTCAAAGTTACCTTCTACCCTCATCTCACAGAATTCTCCACAGTGCGGTACTCAACGGCAACCTAGGCTCGCCGGTTAACAGACTTGGATTTACTGATCATGAACTCGGGATTCATCATATTCATTATGCTTGCATGGTAGACATCAATGATGGTTTGTTGCAACGTCGCGTGAATAATTGCTTTTCCTCCCGAGCACTGACTTTCGTTGTTGTGGATGTTAGCGCCCCTTCTATCGATTCCACTCACCTGACCGACCGTAATCACAGAATGACCAAATCGCCATCGGTTAACTTTTGGTAGTCTCCAGCATGAGTTACAAATCAGTCTAGAAGTAGCTTGCTACTGCTAGGGTTATTGTCTTAACTGTTCTCTCGACTCTTTCTCTAACGTGTTAGCTTCAGCATTGAAGAGTTCTCTAGTCTCAGTTGTCTTGTGCCTTAGACGCACATTCAGAGTGGCCTGCCTGATTCCGTTGCTGCAAATGTGTTTTTAGTCCTACCAATCATCCACGCACCATGTCTACAGTCACAGGCCAGTCGGTCACGTCTCACTGGCATTCACAACATTTCACTACACGGAGCTACCAACGATGAGTACATGGACAGGTCCTCTAGGAAGGTCACACAGTCTAGTCACCCTACTGATGAAGATGGTCACTACAAGTAGTTCCCCTATGCTTTCTCTCCATTTGTTTCAAGTCACTAACATCTACTATCGCGACGGAATTATTCCCCTAACGTGGCGCTTTGAGCTACGCTGGGTAGCAATTGCCAAGAGCCTTCATATCATACAGGTTAATAGTTAGTGGTCAGACTAACTCAGTCACACAATCCAATCCTCTTCGGACGTTAGGGAGAAGTCGATGGCCCTTTTGAAAATGGCCATGGGAGACAACAGGCTTATGGGTTATAAGCTCACAGCTCGCTTGGTGTATAGCACGAATTTCACGCATTGTCTCTGAGGGTGTAATATTCTATAGTCGACAAACACGTGTGAATCGTTCTAAATCTGAAAAGGCTGTGTGTGACCGATCTCATTGGATCTCTGCAATCACACTCCCGAGCTGCACTTGCTCTCCACCGCATTGTGTGTGATGTTATTGAGCCAAAGGCTCCGGTTAGAGTACTTCAGGTGAACGTCCATATCCCCCCTCCTTTGTTAGTCAGATTGTTGAGTCAAAGGCCAGAGATAAGGCACCTTGAACAAACCCATCTGTTGGAATGGGCAGTTGGAGAGTATCACCTGCCCACTGGACTCCGTCGACAATACTCCCTCACTTTCAACTCTCTCCTTCCCCGGATATGGAGCAAGAAACTACCGCTGACATCGCAACTGCTATTATCGATACATATAACTCCTCCTTCAAACCAAGGGTCTCATTCCACCTTGGTTGGCACTCTGGGTCAGATCGACCAACAGTCATCATCAACTCTCACTCTTCCTTCTCTTGGTACTTATGTGTGCTGTGTCTGGAACACAGCGTTGTGACCAATTTTCGGGTCTCTGGTTCCGAATTTACCTACAAAGTCTACAGTCTTCGCGTCCCTGACCATACTGAGTCGGTGGCCCAACATATGTGGGAGCATAAAAAGCTCTCGGCTCTACACAGAAAGTAGTCAGCTAGGCAAGTCATTCTTCGTCACTTTTCAACATAGTCTCTCACAACTTGAATATACTTATTCCGGCTGTGTTCAAGCATTGCTATGCATGTGTGGAAAAAGCTCGAAAGCCATGTCTGTAAAAAGAGCCCCACAACACTATTATACTCATCAGTATTGGCAAATCTTTGACCCCAGAGATGCTTTTTCAGTTTAGGGAACAGATAAATATCTGATGGGGTGAATAAGTAGGATGTGGCAGCAATTCAAGTTATGTATAGCTGCTTCTGAGACGGCAACTTGGGAAGTATGAACAGGTGCGTTGTTATGCAAAAGTAAAGCTCCTTCTGCGAACTCTCTTCTTTTTTCTTTGGTTGCTTGTCTCATTTGGCGTAATACTCATCTACGATGATCTGACATTTCGTCAGGAAGTTAATCATTATTACGCCAGCCCTTAGTACGAAGGATTATAAGCCTCCCTGTAATCCGAAGGCGTGGGTTCGTGTCTGCGTAAGGACCGGGTGATGCTCTCAATATCATTAGCCCACGTGCCACTAGTGGTTATCACGCTGCAGCGATGCGTCAATACTGCATAGTGGCGTACTGCTGATGCCTATCACGATTACACTCTCATTGTCCCAGAAGACAGATGTCACTACCTTTCCCACGGACGCCACTTGACGAAACTACTTTGGGAGTGGAGAGCTACTGTGTTTCCAGTGTTCGCTTGGACTCTGATTCAAGGTGAAGAGCCCATGTCTAATCCTGGATAACAAATCTTTTGAAAATTATTGTGGAATTTGCCTTGAAATGGGTCAAAATTTGGCTCGATTTTTCCAGTCCGTGAAATTTTTGATCATGTGTTAACATTCTTGGCGCCTATCTCACAGTCAGCCTTCTCATCCCCAAGTTGTTCGTTAAAACAGTATGCACTGGGCGATAGCTGAGCGTCATAGTCATAGCCATCCCCGAAAAATAGATAACCTGTCATTCCCTATCATTCGGAGAATGGCTTCCAGTTAGTCATCACACGTCGGAGATTTTGGTTGGCCAACATTTTCTCATCTTTTCACCCTGTTTTTCCACTTGTTGTTTTGCATGTGAAGTGTGTGAGATCCTCACTAACTACATCGCATCCCGGTTTAGGACAATTCGAGGAGAACTAGAAAATGGAAACATACTGCACGTTAACTTTATTATTCGTTGCGTAACCATTATCTTGACCGCTGTTTACTTATTTAATCTTTCCCTTGGTGCTCTTATCCTTAACTTAAGACTCATGGCACCTTTCCTGATTCGTCACTTCTTTTTCATCTGGCTGTTTTTCTAGCTGTTCATCGTGGTTTACTTCAAGAACATTCTGCTTTGTGGCCCAAGATACTTCAGCTACTTGAGGCAGCTGAGTCTGATGGGATCAGTGCAGTCAAGGAATTTACCGCGGTTTTACACCAAAAGACTGTGTCAGATACACATTGTCCGCCCACTGATAAATCCCCGGTCATCAATAATCCCCTGCAGCAACCCATTATTGTCACCTCCGAACCTCATCCTCCATCGTTCTCGTTTACCGATCTCCAGAGACTTCCAAGCTCGACACTGGTAGCTCTACCATGGTTACCGCTCAATCCCTTGGATGCAATCCGTCTTCCCACGTCGAGATTTCCTGGTTTCTCTCATGTTAGTTAAAGTTCCATTGAAATCACACAACGGCATCACTGTTTATGCCTAAGTGGGCTCTTTTTTTATTATCTTTGTGGCATTACGTATCGCATATTTATGTTGTAGATTGGCATTCCAGTCACACTGTGGTTGTCATTCATATTTTGTGCTTTTCTGTCACCAAACGTACTCATCTCTGGTCCCTACGTTTTCGTCGTTTACCTAGCCCAAATCTCTCAATCCGCCATACTCACCAGCCGTGTACAGCCGCCCATCATTCCCAATTCAATCAAAAACTACCAAAGCAGAATTCTCTTCCTCCCTGGACGAGTATTATGACGAACTCCCTAACGTGCCCCGCAGGAAAGTACGTTCCACACAGTTATCCATAAATGTTGTGTCGCAAAGCGTTTCTTAACGTTTGGCCTGCTATTCCAACGGACGAATCAAATGAGCATAAAATGATTTAACAATGCCGCTGTGTAGCTAGGCCACAGCGTTTGTTGGTTTTTCTCCCCATTTACTTTTTTTCATTTACATGGCTAGTCCATCAAGCATTTACCTAAGTTGATGTTTTACTAATCGGTCGCGAATCATTGGACACCGTGCTGTCTTCTTCGATGTGGGCGCACATGCTAATGCAGTTAATTTGGTTGGATCGGTCCACATGTAGCATTGGACATGGACTGTCCTTCACTGTCGTTCGGATACATTGCGGATTTCTTTCATTAGACACAACTTGATTGTTCCTGTACATGTTTCGCTATACCATCATTCGTCGTTCGAACTGGACTTATTTGCGCCCGTTGCACGCACATTAGTGGTCAGACAGCGTGTGTTTCACGTTCAAAAACATCAAGGTGCTGTTGTAGGTTATTAAAGAATCGCTCGTTTTGGTTAACCTTTTCTATTATCAGCGTATTGGTAAAATTATCGGCAAAGTATTACTGTGTTACGTTCAAATTCCTTCAACTTTTCGAGGCGTCAATGGCACGCAGACATCGCTTTGTGAGTCCACAGCAGAGTTCACCGCACCTCAATGGAGTCAGTGCAGTTGTGTGGTTCGGAATCTTAGGACCACTTTACTTTGGTGACACCGACTCGTGGTCTTTCAGTGCGTCGCCCACCATCAATAGGGCCACTAGGTTTGAATTCTTCCGACAGAGTTTGCCGAAGTTGTAATTCGAACCAAGAATACATGTGTTGATGGTACTGGAGCGCCGTGCTGCATGCTGCAGTCACAGCTTCGGCGATGTCTGTCGAACGAGTCCAAACAAAGATGAAAGTAACCTTAAGACGTGTTAGGAGTGATCCTCGCTGTGTTTTAGTTATTTCAACTGTGTTTACAGTTACTGGGACGGCCAAATTTGGACTGTATCGCAGTCTAAACATAACAGTTTTCTCGTAACAACCTAACACCAAAGTCGACTATTTTGTATTGAACCCAATATCTTATGCTGACACATTTGGCTGCATCCGAGACACCGGTATTCAGTGTGTCATGCGCCTTCCGTACCCGTCAACCACCTCCATCTTGTCGTTCCTTTCTTGTCCACTTGGGTGAATCTGCGAGATGGCTAAGTCACAACCTGCCCATGGATTGCTAGGAAAGTGGTGCTTCCATGCGTCATCTTTCTAAATGTAGACCACTGCCTCGACCACATCCGCGACTGGGATCCTATCACCCAGTGTTATCAATGCGCCGGCGGCCCCTGTCAGTTCCAAACGCTAATTCTACAACTCAGCTTCTTTCAACTCCGCTTGGTCCTTTTTTCTTGGTTTTTGTTCCATTGCTGTCTTTAATGTACTTCTACTTCGGATCTGAAGGCTATCTACCACATTTTTCGCATCTACACTGACTTTGGGTGTTTAGCTAGCTTTAAATTGGCCAATTTTGCATCACATACTGCTACCTGCATCCCCATGAGGGGTTCGAATTTGCAGCGACCCTTCTTCGACCACCTTATTCCACCCTCTTGACCAGTTTAAGTATCTGATGTGAGATGCTCGATCATTTACATATCCTATTTGTCACGGTATCTGCATGTAATTCCGGTCTGTGCTTTCCCCAGAGCCTCTTACGCTCCATACTGTTTTCTGTGAGTCTGTTCTCTTCAACTTCTAGGTAAGTGACTCCACTTGTCGTTGTTCGCATGTCTATTCACCACCCCCTTTAGCTCATCACTTCAATCTGTTTGCACGTTGTTCATCAACGCGCGGCCTGGTTGTCGTTACCACTGCGCCTCGCTCATCTCATTCTCCTTGTTCATGACTTGACCGCATGCTTTGGACTAAGTGTATGCGCCCCGGACTTTGGACCGTGAGCGTTGCGAGGCTCTAAAACTGGAACCGTTATGGGTACGCAGACCCAAACTTAATCTGTACCCTCTATACCGCTTACTATTCGTAGTAAGCTTCACTACTCAGCCATTACTCAAGTTTCAGACTCGTATGCGCTATGAACTAAGAAACAGCGAGCGCACATTGGAAATGCAAATGTCTCGCACCAAGCTCCTCTAAAAAATTTTCTCCGTAAACTGTGCCTTACGATGGAACAAGCTTCCATCGAGTATTAGAAACTACGTTACCTATCCGCAATTCAAACACATGATTAATATTTTCCTGACTGTTTCAAATATCTGGTCAACACTAAGCCAAACGATGACCCTAGATGATGTGTATGAGGAAGGTCCTGATACACTTGAAAGTCGCTAATTGTCTCAATATTCTAATTTTACCTACATATAGTTGCATTCTTGAGTATGTATCTATAAACGCTCTTACTCATATCACTCCGTTTAACCAACTCTTTTCTCCATTGATATACTGATTCGAAGATACACTACGTTTTTGTTGTGTCGGAGCCCCGCGGTTGCTTCCACCCATTAACAGTAGTAAGAACACGAACGAGCGGGTAGAAAACAACGTTCACGACGCACGCCAAACCGGCCACCAAGCGTCTGTGTGTCCAAATCAATCACATGGTTCAATTTAAGGCATAGACACAGGCTATGCAGAAAGGCTGACAGTCGACTAATCAAAGCTAGTCATTCCTGAGGCGAAGGATCCATATGGTGTCTCACGAACGAGCGAAATATACAGAGTATGGGGAAACCGTTAAGCACAAGATTCAGTGGCAATACATGTTAAGCACAAATGTGAGGCAAAAGTGAACGTATGCGAGGAATTGTAAAAGAGGACAGTATGAATGAATGTGAATGTGGAAAACTCACAAAACAACGCTGAGTGGTTAAGTTTTCTTACCACCGCTATAACACTTTCTTGATTTTCTCTCACCGAGTTATTGGTTATTCACCCCGCAGCTGCACTCTATCGAACACAGTAGCCCGAAACTCCGATACATGTAATCAATAGTTATACGAGGCAGATGCAGTTCAAGGGTAAATGACGGGCCAGTGCGGTGCTCTACGGATTGGGTGTGTGGTCGCTGTTGGGCACTAACCACCGTGTAGTTTCTAAGTCTTATGTGGTACATAGGCGCTATACGGAAAGTCCTAGCTTGTGAGGCTAGCCAATGTCTGCTGCACAGTTCGTACCTGGCATGGCAGTGGAAGGTGAGCCGGGCTATGTCATAGTCAACCGTCAATCACGCAGGTCCGTGGCTGTCACCCATGGCGAAGTGGCACTAGCTGCTGGCATCCTGAAGTCATGGGGGCGGAACCCGGCAGGGGTCCGCTGGGAGGCGCACCATTGACGAGACCCAGAAGGTCGAAACGCCGGCATCTGGTGCTTTTCCAGACTAGCCTAAGCCTACTGATTGGGAGTGACGATGATGTACTAGTTGAATTATACCAAAATCCTCACTACTGCTCAACAGTAATGAAAAATTCTACCCATGCAAATCATACTGCTACTGGCTCGCTGACTTGTCACAAAAGTGCCGTACTTGATTGATCCGCACGACGGAACGGACTGAGGCTTCATCGCCCATAATGTGTACATAAAACAGCCCTTATGAAAAAAATCATTTGTTACCCAGCTGAAAGCTTACTTACTATTTTGCCACACCGGCACAGAGCCAGTCGGAGCATGGAAGTGCGGGGGAAAACCCATCGAGGGAATACCCTGCACGGAAGCAGGTCCCCTGAGGACAGTTCCATAGATAGGCGTATTACTTTATTTGGACTTTCGCTTAAATCTACATTTGTTATTATTCCCAATTTCTTAATCTCTCTAGTACTTTCAAGTTGCTGATCACTTCAAAAAACCCATATGGTGTCCTTTGTACAAAACAGGTAAAATTAACTATATTATGCGATCACGTTGTACAAGTTGATCAGACCACTCATTTGATCTGTGCCTCGCCCTGTCGATGAATAAAACCTATATTCTTTTATTCATTTATCCGCGCACCTCAGATAGTCATGATTGCGTTACCTCAAACGAGTCCATAACGCCTTTGTTTCTCTACTCTGGTCATCCGCAAATGCGCTCCCTCATTTCAACCCTCAATTTCATTGTCGTCCCTCCCTGTTGTTCACCTCGGGTATGGTCACGCGGCCTATGTGGTTGGTGCATGTCTCCGACTTGTATTTTTGATCTTTTCACAAATTGTTTAATTCTTTCTTCTGCATTACCAGGTCTTCACCATAGAACAACTCCGGAGACGTATTAACCGCCCAAAACGTCCGCATCCTCAAAAAAGTTTCACGTTTTTCCAGTCCTCTTCCCTTCCTTTACCGGATCATATGTTGCCCACTTCAGTATCTCAACTCCACATGGCCCCGATGCATTCCGTTCACAACTTCCCTAATTACAGTGTTTTATGGCCTCAGTTACATTCATGTGCACCGCCTCACTGGCCATGGGAATCCGACGGTGGAGTATACGCTGAGGTCAATGATGCCCTCGTCTCCGAAGATTCCTCTGTTTCGACACCACTCCCACCATCCTTTTCCTCTGTTGCTTAACTGACAACTCTGCGCTTTTCTAACGCCTTTGTTATCTCACTTCAAATGCTTGTTCACTTAGCTTCTCAACTGTGCTGAACGCGTAAGTTGCGCACTCCAGATTCCGCAAACATTCTATGGTACATGTATATACTTCTTTTCTGTGAATCAGAAAATTGACCCTGTTTGTGTATTGATCGTATTCCCTGTCAACCTCAGTCTATCATGCAATCGACTGCACGACAGCTGATGTTTTTGCCAAAAATGTCATCTCTTTGCCCATGGGTCCTTTTGGCGTTTTGTTTTGTCTTTGTCCCCCATTCTTTGTAACAGTACCCACTGACTGCATCGTATATAATCATACAGTCTTTCAAGCAGTCTCCATAATCATTCTGATTCGACTCATTCTGTCTGGGCTTTCACGAATCGTCGTCTTTTCGTTATGTTTGTTGCCTCTCCCCATTAACCGTTTATTGCTGTCCAGATCTATCTTTCTCGCTTTTTGTCCTTGTCAATAGTAAATCTCTGTTGCTTTCACCACATACAAGCTTCTGATCACTCAGATTCCACCTTATCTCCTGAGCGATTACATTGCAATGCTGCTTTGTTGTTTGTGTAGTTATTTCATCGAACACTCAAGGCATAGCGCCCAACGCCATTACGAGCTGCATCTGTTTCACTGGCCAAACTAGTTGCGGTCCACGTGAACATCGCGTGTCCCAATACTTCTACTAAACGGCTCTCATAACCGAATCCTCATTACATCTCTGGTTCTTTCGAGACCGTCCTCTAAGGACCTATATTATTTTAATCGGAGAAATAGTTCGATATTACCTTTTGATGCACTTCTAAAAAATAACGTGTCAGCTGTAAGCCGTAACGTTGCCTCGCTGCCGTGCGACCAACCCCAGTTGCACGCGGGCTGAGTACACCGCGAGGACACTTGCCCTTACGCGGATTCGAACCGGTGACCTTATAATTGAAAGCCATGCGTGCAGACCACTCGACCACTGGCCGATTGATGCTTCTGGTAAAGGACGAGTCGTACTTATTGTATCAAGCAACGCTGATATTTTGAGGCATTCCTGCGTAGCTTTCGGTATCAGAGTTCTACCTATCCCCAATATCGCAATACGGAACCACACTTGATAAATAATGTATGCTCCACCATCTCTCAATGTCAGCCCAAAGTGTCTTGCTATAAATTTGACGGAAAGTCGCAGTCGCTGGAAAATCTCGCAATGCTCCTTGTCTCTAAATGTCCTGTCTACATCATCTTTCTACTCTTTAGCTAGAGACAGCTCTGTACTTGAACCCCCAACGTTGACGCAGGCGGGATCATCTCCATTTGGCCTATCAGCTTCACCCGAGAGTTTGTGGCTGGTGAGACTTTTCTATGTCTCAATCGTTTCCTTTTCACTTATCCGGATTCTCCTTTTGCCGCTGTCGTAAATAGTGGAATCAACAGAGAGAATTATGTCGCTTTACTGAATTACGCCGATCGTAGTAGGAATGTTCATGAATTACAACTGCACTGGCCACAGAAATATCAACTGGACGCTGTCAGCAACGAACATGCTGCTTTTGTTAGGTTTTTGTTACCTTACTATAGGGCAGCTATCCTGGCTGCAAAGCTGGCGTTTTTTGGACCTGATTTGGTCTGCTTTCCCCGACGATGGCTGCAATTGAACTATCGTGTAAAATCTGAAACAAGTTCAACATATTGCGATATTTAGGACCGCTTTTTTTCTAACCTCCTACCGTTTATGCCTGAACGGGATTTCCATTCATCATTTAAGTCCTGCTCAATGAACCCTATTGATAACTGTTCTCTTCGGTATCGAGATTTAGCCCCTTAGACCTGTGGATCTCATATGCGCGAGAGGTTGTCTACAGAAATTCTGCCAAAGGCAGCGGGTACACGACTGCGGGTGACTAACAACACTGGGGATGGCCCACTTTGAGAATCCGTCTCATACAGCTCTGTGAAGCGATTGAACTAATGGCAACCTCAGCATTCGATGGAATATGACTAAGTCCAGGAGATTCTCAGGGCCTGCACAGCCGCGAGAAGTCCTATAACATAAACGGAATTCAGAGGCCGACTCCTGAAAAAACGGTGATTGCCGACCCCTGTACGCTCGGCACAATCTTCATTCTTAGTTCAACATTCATTGACTCACTTTAGGATAGCGAGAAACTGTCCTGCTTATATACTAACGCACATTGGTAAGCTGACTGAACCCCGAGGTCGTCATACTTCAGAGCCTCGAGATGTCATGATTATCACCGAAACGTGGCTGAGTTGTCAGGTAATTCTTGTTGAGTTTCATGTACCCGGTGTGTCGCCTCTCTGAGGATACATAACGGTTATGGGTGGGGTAGTGACCATCTATTGCAAAACAAACATTCGCTATGAATTCATAGATGGCTCCCAAACGCACGTCACGGATTTCCTTAGCTGCAGGCTATGGCTGAACAAGGACGACATATGCTTTGTGTTCGTAGTTTGCCGACTTCCCATATCCACTTCGGAACTGGACCACAGACTGATATGGGCTTTGCGTGTTGTGGTGAATCGGTGATACACCCATATTCATATAACACTCATGATTTGGAGCCTCCAGCGACCGAGAATAAACAGTTTAAAGTCCAACTGCTGAAGAATCTCTAGTACACTCTTATACAATCATGTCACCGCTCCCTCCAGGTTCAGAACGGCGAATAAACCGTCGATGTTGGGCCTAGTGTTCACCAGCGACGACCTCATTTTTCATGGGCCAGATGTGTGCAGTCCTTTGAGTTGAAGCGATCACCTGACCACCGTTCGGTTACTTTTGCTACGCTGGATATGTCGATGCAGAGCCGAAAGAATGCAATCTATTACACATTACCAAGTATTGTCCGCATTCGTTGAAGATGTGTCAATAGTCGCAAACGCATCAGAGTCAAATGTTTTCCATCATCTGCTCAAGCTAAAATCTTTTTGGCTTCAAGTGAAACAAGAATTACAAACAAAATACTTTTACTGGCCTTCAACTAATCATCACTAGCTACAACACACTTCTGACACCCGTTGTAATGCATCATAGGCCTCATCAGTACGCAGGTACGCAGTACCGACGCTTCGCCGCCGCGCAACCATCGGTCGCACCTGTTCTATGATACTGCGATGGTCGCCCTACCCCTACGCAGGCTCGAACCCGCGCCGCCTGATTGCAAGATAAGCTTGTTACCTTTAGGCTACGGGCCGCCTGAAACATCAGGGTGGT